TTTTTTTTGACAGGCAGAGTGGACAGTGAGAGAGACAGACAGAGAGAAAGGTCTTCCTTTGCCGTTGGTTCACCCTCCAATGGCCGCCGCGGCCGGCGCGCTGCGGCCGGCGCACCGCGCTGATCCGATGGCAGGAGCCAGGAGCCAGGTGCTTTTCCTGGTCTCCCATGGGGTGCAGGGCCCAAGCACTTGGGCCATCCTCCACTGCACTCCCTGACCCAGCAGAGAGCTGGCCTGGAAGAGGGGCAACCGGGACAGAATCTGGTGCCCCGACCGGGACTAGAACCCGGTGTGCCGGCGCCGCTAGGCGGAGGATTAGCCTAGTGAGCCGCGGCGCTGGCCCGTGAAGTTTCTCTTAAGTTCTGCTTTGCATTCAAGGTAGACTTTAGCTACCTCATTTGTTAGAAACCATTATGGTGGTAGGGGCATTTGTTGAATCTTTTCATGACTTTTCCTGTTGGGCATTTAAGTGAGTTACTAGTGTTTTCTTTTGCTTTTATTAAAATGTCCCATGAGAGGAAGGAACTGATTATACTTCTGAGCCCAGCTGACTTCTTAGTACCCTGAGCTCACTGGAAGGTATTTACAAACATATGCCCATAGTCATAAAGAAGTAATTTTCTGGTACAGTGGTGACATTGACAATAATAACTTCACAACCATAGCACACAGTAGATTTTCCATTTGCTTTTACTTTTCATTAAGTTATATAATTTCTCTTCAAGATCTTACCTTCAGGAACTCTGTCCTGGCACCAGTGCTTCTTTCCCTTATTATGGCAAATACTTGAATAATTACTTAAGGTAATTACTTAGTCACTGAAAAGTACAGTAGCTGTCTAGTGACTGACTTTTAAGAGAACAAAGTTTGGAAATCAAAAGGAAGTTAACATGAAACAGATCTCTCCTTATTCCCTACTAAGCTTATATATTCAGCTATTTTAGACACCAGTTCCACTAATACAGCTAGGTAACTGTGCTATGCTAAAGTCTTAAGAAATCACACATCTGCAGAGATAGTTGACCCTTTTCATTGCCAGTCTTATTGCAGGGGTACTTAGGGTTGGTTTTTCTCCAAAGATAGCTATGTTGATACTTGTGTGAATTTCTTTAATTAATGTGTTTCATAGCCCAGTGTGTTGTATGACATAGGTATACTTTTTTTTTTTTTTTTTTTTTTTTGACAGGCAGAGTGGACAGTGAGAGAGAGAGAGACAGAGAGAAAGGTCTTCCTTTGCCGTAGGTTCATCCTCCAATTGCCGCCGCGGCCGGCGCGCTGCGGCCGGCGCACCGCGCCTATCTGAAGGCAGGAGCCAGGTGCTTCTCCTGGTCTCCCATGGGGTGCAGGGCCCAAGTACTTGGGCCATCCTCCACTGCACTCCCTGGCCGCAGCAAAGAGCTGGCCTGGAAGAGGGGCAACTGGGACAGAATCCGGTGCCCCGACCGGGACTAGACCCCGGTGTGCCAGCACCGCAAGGTAGAGGATTAGCCTACTGAGCCGCGGCGCCGGCCAATATGTATACTTTTTAACCTACCCTGCTCTGTGAGGCAGCTACTAAGAACCTAAGTTACTGTTTCCACAGATGTGAGTATGCTAGATCATTGTTTTATTGAGTTGAGTGAATGGCATCTTTCCATTTTCGGGAGATTTCTTTACTGGTAGTCTGAAGTTTTATAACTTCAGTTCAAAGCATTACACTTTAAGTAAATTAACAAAGCTAGATTGCAAATCTTGTTTAATTAAATGGTCATTTAAACCATTGAAAGTGCTCCCTCCATCTTTCTCCTACTGCAGTCCCTCAAAAAAGATTTTATGGCTAGTAAATGATTTTTATCATGTCTTCCGTGATCTTCCATTGCCTTTTTTTTTTTTTTTAAGAGTTATTTACTTGTTTGAAAGGCACAAAGAGAGCCACAAAGAGAGGGAGGGAGAGAGAGAAATAGAGAATATTCCATCCGCTGGTTCATTCCCCAAAAGGCAGCAATGGCCTGTGTTGGACCAGGCTGAACCCAGGAGCTGGGAGCTTCTTCTGGGTCTCCCATGTTGCTGACAGGGGCCCAAGTACTTTGGCCATCTTCTGCTTTCCCAAGTGCATTAGCAGGGGGCTGGATAGGAAGTAGAGCAGCTGGGACTTGAGCCATTGCTCATATGGGATGCCGGTGTTGCAGGTGGCATAACCGGCTGCATCAGAACACTGTTCCTCCCCACCCCCAATTGCTGCTGTTATTGAGTCTAGTAAGATTATGGTAAGACTAGATTTTTTACTTCAAGGGTCCAAAAGACATGTAGTTTTAATTAAGATTTTAAAACCTAATACCAATTATCATTTTTCAGTTGCTAAGTCTTTGGGAAAAAGAAATACTAGTTCTGGTATTTATAGATTATAGTTAGCTGTATAAAAACGTCATCCTGTCTCTTCTTTTGATCCAGCTTCCTATAAATATGCCTGGGAAGGCAGCAGCAGATGGCCTGAGTATTTGGATCCCTGCCATCTACACAGGAGGTCTGGGTGGACTTCCTGCCTTTTTTTTTTTTTTTTTGGCAGGTAGAGTTATAGACAGTGAGAGAGAGACAGAGAGAAAGGTCTTCCTTCCATTGGTTTACTCCTCAAATGGCTGCCGCGGCTGGCGCTGCACCAATCTGAAGCCAGGAGCCAGGTGCTTCTTCCTGGTCTCCCATGTGGGTGCAGGGGCCCAAATACTTGGGCCATCCTCCACTGCCCTCCTGGGCCACAGCAGAGAGCTGGACTGGAAGAGGAGCAACTGAGACTAGAACCCGGTGCCCATATGGGATGCCGGTGCTGCAGGCAGAGGATTAACCAAATGAGCCATGGCACCGGCCCCCTTCCTGCTTCTTGTCTTTAGCTTGGCCCAGATGTGGCTGCTACAGCCATGGGGCAAGTGAACCGGCAAATGGAAGATCTGTCTCCCCTCCCACTCCCCATGCTCTGCCTTTCAAATAAATAAATAAATCTTTTTAAAAATGTTGAGTCGTGGGACCAGCACTGTGGTGTAGCAGGCTAAGCCTCCATCCACACTGCTGTCATCCTATATGGGTGCCAGTTCAATTCCTGGCTGATCCTCTTCCTATCCAGCTCTCTGCTATGGCCTGGGAAAGCAGTGGAAGATGACCCAAGTGCTTGGGCCCTGCTCCTGGGTGGAAGACCTGGAAGAAGCTCTTGACTCCTGGCTTCAGTTCAGCCCGGATCTGGCTGTTGGGGCTGTTTGGGGAGTGCACCTGTGGATGGAAGACCTTTCTCTTTCTCTCTCTCTCTGTAGCTCTGCCTCTCAAATAAATAAATAAATCTTTAAAAAGAAAAATAAAAATGTTGAATCTTATATAAAATATTTATTTGAGAGAGAGAAAGAGACAAAAATTCTATCTACTAGTTCACTCCCCCATATTCCCGCAGTGACTAAGGCTGGGCCAGGCCAATGCCAGGAGCTACTAACTCATTCAAAGCCTCTCATGTGTTTGGACCCCAGTACTTGAGCATCACCTTCTGCCTCCTGAGGTTCACATTAGCAGGAAGCTGGAATTGGAAGTAGAGCTGGGACTCAATCCCAAGCACTCCAATATGAAATACAAATGGCCCAGCTGATAGGCTTAATATCTTGAGCTTAAATTTTTTTTTATGTAGTGTTAGATTTACAGGCCCAGTAGATTTTTTTTAATTGTTAAAAATAGCTTTCTGTTTATTTGGTTCATTTCAGTTTATTCCTGTCATTCATTCAACAAATATGGATTTAGTGCTTTCTATGGGCCAGATCTTATAAGTGATGATTCTTACTCTTAAGGTGTTTGCAATCTGCTTTGAGAATGTAAGCAATAAGCAATAAACATATAAAATAATACAGTATATCAGAAGGTGATAAATGCTGTAGAAGATAAAACAGCATAAGGGCGATGGAGCAGGGATGAGTTGGGGTGGAGATGGCAATTTACAGTTTAAAATCGGGTGGCTTGCTAAACACCATTGAGAGTAACAAAGTTGATGAGATAGCTGACAATATGGTATTCAAGAAGATGTGTTCAAGAAAAGGAAAGGAAGGGCAAATACCCTAACGTAACCACAGCCACGGCACACTTGAGGAATTCAAGGAAAGAGAGTGGCTGGAGCAACCGGGACTAGAACCGGCACCCATATGGGATGCCGGCTCCACAGATGGAGGATTAACTGAGTGTGTCACGGCGCTGGCCCCAATTGATAAGTTTTGCAAAATGCTATTTAAGTCTGTGAAATCAAAATGATCATTTTGTTAGACATGTGCCAAAATATAAAATTCTTTAAAATAATTGGAAAATATGCTGTGCAATCTCTTAATCGTTTTTAAAGATTTATTTACTTGAAAGGCAGAGTTAGAGAGAGAGAGAGTGTTAGAGAGAGATCTTCCATCGCTGGTTCACTCTCCAAATGGCCGCAACAGCTGGAAGTCAGGAGCCAGGAGCTCCTTTCCAGTCTCCCACGTGGGTGCAGGGGCCCAGGGACTTGGGCCAGCCTCCTCTGCTTTCTCAGGTGCATTATCAGGGAGCTGGATGGGAAGTGGAGCAGCCTGGACTGGCTTCCGTATGGGATACCAGCACTGCAGGTGGCAACTTAACCCACTGTACCACAGCACTTTCCCTCCACCCCTGCAATCTCTTAATCCTATTTAATTGCATAAATTAATACTTTTGTGATTCAGTTCTTATAGATTTCAGAAAATAGAATGAAAATGATTGTAAAGTGTTTGGGCTTAATTTACTAAAAGGCACTAAAACTTTTCAGGTTTTTTTTTTTCCTTGTCTCTTTCAAGAGAACGGTGTTGTTATTACCTTCGAATTTGAATTGATTTTTTTTAGTTATTATATGTGACATATCTAATAAATATGCATTGACTATAGTTTTTAACTAATGAGATTACAAAAAAATTGGTTGTTAATGTCTTTCAGATGTATTGACTTAAATGCATTCAGTATTTTATTGAAAAACGCTGTTTCATTTGTTTCACTATGTTTAGAAAAGGAAGACCAGTGTCTAATGCCTGAAGCTTGGAATGTGGACCAGGGAGTAATTACCAAACTCAAGGAACAATACAAAAAGGAGAGAAAGGGGAAGAAAGGGGTGAAGAGTAAGTGGAAAACATTGCATCTTTAAATTAGAAATCTTGTCTCATTTTTATCTCCATTTTTTTCTCCAATGTTTTCCTAAAACCACTTACTCTTTTTCATTTCTGTTCCTGACCTCATTCCTTTGTACCTCTCTCAGGGGTTGAAATTAAGTGGTTAGCTGTTTCATTATAAGCTTTAAAAAAAAAAACAGAATTCATTTATGACTGTGAAACCATAACATATACAAATAGCAAATGTAGAGCCTTATGAGAGTGTTGGGCCATGTGTTAAAACATAGTGGTGATTTTTAAAAAATATATATGCTTAATTACAATAAAAACTATTACAACAAAAACTATTTTCATTTAGCCTGACTCTGGCAATTCATAAAATTATTTCTTAGAATTATAGATTTTGGAGACAAAAAGAAAGTTAATTTCTACCCCTGAATATTCTGTGTATTCACAACACACGGTTCATTTGCTCTCAGCACTATATGCAATACAGGGCACAAAGTCAATTACATAGCCTTTAAAAGTATTTTCTAATTTAAAAATTTGATCAGTTTCATTTATAGCAATATTAACCAGTTACCTTTTTTCTTTACAATGAAATGTGCTGACACATCAAAAACAGAAGGTAAAATGGAATTTCTAGCACTGTGAATCATATAACTTTTTCAGTATGCAAATTAACATTTAGCATAGATCTAATTAAATGTGTAAAACTGAAATGGGAAAGTTTTGAAAGCATCCCTGGAAACATTCTTAAATGTCTTTGTTAAGAGAGCCAGGTTAAACTACCTCCTTGTGGTTCTACCCTCATTGATGATACGAACATAAATATCCCTTTTATGGCATTAGGAACTTCATCCTTCTAGATATTAAAGTATCATAAAGCTAGATTAAAATCTAACCTAGTGAGAAATGTTTATTTATTTAAAAGTTGCAGAAGATTGAAAGAGTATGTTTTTTTCTTTTTCTTGACAGTGATACTAAAGTTTATTAAAAACTGGTCATTCCTGTTAGGGAACTCTTTTAAAACCTGCTAGTTGCTTAAAAACTTTTATATCTTTATTTAAAATATGTTAGAATTGAAAAATGTTTAACTTGATTCAATAAAATGTGTCCATTATTGATGTTAGCATCATATTAAAACTATCACATCATAAAAGATGTCATTGGTTATCAATTTAGATTAAATCAGAATGAGAAAGATTAATATTAAAAAGAGCATTTGGTACCTTTTATCCAATCTGATAAAACAACTTAATCTTCGCAAATATAGTGTGACATGATTTGTTCTGGATTTTTGGAGTTTGGACAATATCGGTTAGACTAAAATTTTGAGAGAAATTTGGATATTAAATGAGAAGCATTTTCCAGATTAGCTTACTACTCATGTGTATCTCTTTAGGTCATTGTACTACAAAAATTAATGTCTTTTGAATGTAAAAGTGTACTGATAGAAAAGGGTAGCCAGGACTTGTGTAGAATCCATCAACTCTTACATTGATTATTTGGTGTTTATCAAATATCAAGGTATTGCTGTAGTTGGAATTTAGCACATGAGGTGTAAAACTGCACCATTTGACTGGAACAGTATTCTTGCCAGTGGAAGCAGTTGGATTTTTCTGAATCTGGGGATTATGGTCCATTTTCAGGCCTATAGTATATAGTTTTTATAGTATAGTACACTGAAGTTAGACTGTAGACTGACGTTGGCCACATTTATCATCTTAAGTTCACATTATATTGATAAAAGATACCAGTTGAGAACAACTGAAGGCTTATAAAAATAAAACTAAAGCAAAGCTTTGAATAGATACATGAAGCATTAGTTTACAAACTACTATATAAATTTTTAAATTGAATTATTAATCACTAGGAAAGTTCGAGTCTTTTTAATATAATCAAGTTGAAATATTTCCAGTCAAATTGTGTCCTCTAGTCATACTGTCTTGAAATACATTTGTAGGTATTAGTTAAAATTGCTTTAAAATAGTTATATTCTTTGGTGGTATAGGAGAAAAACCATAATGGACTATGGGTAAGATTTTCCCATTCTTAATTAAACTTATAACAGGAAAAACTACCGAAGATCTGTTTCAGCCTCTATGCTATATAAAACAGTCAAAACAGGGATGTGGGAGAATGAAGAATCAAAGCTCAGGTAAGTAACTGACAGGGCCTAAGACTTCACCTCAGGATGATAGCTTCAAGATGGAAGGCACTGAATGCGTCTTAATTTAAATAGGGATGTCATTGTTTAATTTAGTACTCTGTAGGTTCATAATCTGTGGTATCTGTCATCATTTAACGTGATAGACAATGGTTGGATTATAAACTAATATTACTTGTAATGATCCAGATGGACATGATATACATGTTTATGCAAATGTGATATTGCATTCACTTATAAAAATACATGTAAAATGCAATTGTTTTCAGGAATAGTACATTTTTAAAATAATTTGAAAACTTTGAAAATAATTAATCCAGTAGAATATTTTTAAAGATGAATGTCAACGGATGTGAAATAAGATTTATGGTACCTTTTTGATGCAGTGGAATAATTCTGTTTCCTCTTTTTTATTTTCCTCTCCCCCTACCTTTTTTTTTTTTTTTTTTTTTGATAGGGCCCAATAGGTCAAAACTACAAGATATGCTTGCTAATTTGAGAGATGTTGATGAACTTCCTTCATTGCAGCCATCTGTCGGTTCACCTTCCAGACCCAGTAGTTCCAGACTTCCTGAACATGAAATTAATAGGGCAGATGAAGGCAAGTATTTCAGATATTTTGGGCCACAGAAAGCACTTGATGAATCTCTCTCAGTTAAGATGTTAGAAAGGACTCTTACCTTTGAGAGAATTTTATTCTGCAAATAGTTGATCTATATGGAATTCCTTAAATGCAAGCTTTGTTGCATTTAAGGGAGTTTGATTTCAACTTCAGTCTTTAAGATAAGGGAAAATTAGTGTTATTACTTGGAGACTCAAAAATATTTAAGCAGCTTATCACTGATAAATGGAAATGGGGAAAAGTCACCTGAAGGTCTAATCACATCTTCTACTTTCTGCTTTTTCTCATTCCCTTTCAGTCCTGACCCACATGCATATAGTTTTACATAGGTTAGTCTTCATGTAGAGTAATTCTTTCTTACTTTATTTGCTTAATATAAGATCATACCAATAACTTTATTATTATAATTTTAAGATTATTTATTTAGAGTTAATATGAGATCAGTATTTAGGTTGTGCCCAGTTTTTTACAGTATAATCTTATGCTTATATATTTCTTTTAGATACAAGTTCTATTATAAATGTATAAAATGCTTATATGTGAAAATTGATTTCAGAGTATACATTTCTATTAGCTGATAATCCAGGATCACATAAACATAATTTTTGTTAATAAAAATTTTTCAAATTTTATTTTAAAAATTTCCTTGATCTTAAATACTATAATTTCTTACAATTTATATGTCCATTCAAATGAATATTTATGGAACAAAACAGCCTGAGAAAAAGCCACAGAATAAAAATTGTATTTTTCTTTTTTTTTTGAATTCAGGTGCATTGTTAAAGAGACATAAAGTGAAAAGATTGCGAATTTTCATGTTTGAATAGTTTTTCAGTGCAATTTTTGGCCCATGAGTAATTTAGCATAGTTGTAATTTATTACTCGTGTAAAGAATCATTGTGTCATACTCTAGATGTGCAATTTATTTGAGGTAGATTCATGTCTTTTGAATTACAAATTTGAAATCGTGGTCCTCAGTAGATCTGTTCACTAGTAGATTTGTTCCACTGACATTATGGAAACAAGACTTACTCAGTTTCATTTACTTGAAGATTAGGTCTTAGATATGGAGGAAAATAGTTTTTCTCTTATTCTCAAAAAGAGTTTTTATCAGAGATTCCATCCTGTATCATACATAAATTAGAATTCTTGTAAGAGAGGCAGAATACTGTTTACTACGTGATTTGGGCCATCCTCCACTGCTTTCCCAGGCCATAGCAGACAGCTGGATGGGAAGTGGAGCAGCTGGAACTTGAACCGGTGCCCATGTGGCATGCTGGCACTGTAGGCAGAGGCTTTACCTGCTATGCCACAGCACCAGCCCCTGTATATTTTCTATATTGTGAAAAGGGAAGAACAGTTGATTATTAGATTTGTTTTATGTTTTACTCTTTTTTTTGTTTATTTTTTATTTTTTATTTTTTGACAGGCAGAGTGGACAGTGAGAGAGAGAGACAGGGAGAAAGGTCTTCCTTTGCCGTTGGTTCACCCTCCAATGGCCGCCGCGGCCGGTGTGCTGCGGCCGGCGCACCGCGCTGATCTGATGGCAGGAGCCAGGTACTTCTCCTGGTCTCCCATGGGGTGCAGGGCCCAAGCACTTGGGCCATCCTCCACTGCACTCCCTGGCCACAGCAGAGAGCTGGCCTGGAAGAGGGGCAACTGGGACAGAATCCGGCACCCCGACCGGGACTAGAACCTGGTGTGCCGGTGCCACAAGGTGGAGGATTAGCCTAGTGAGCCACGGCGCCGGCCTGTTTTACTCTTCTAATTAGTTAATCCCTTCAGCTGTGGTTAAGGTATGGATAAAGCAATAAATTCCTCAGGGTTTTCTGCTCACTGAATTTTATTGTGTTTAAAAGCACTTTACAATAATTAAATGTATACATACCCTTTCAAGAAAATTGATAGAAGCAAATTAGACTAATTATTGGCTCTTCAGAGGTATGTTATGTTTCCTTTCAGTGGAAGCATTAACATTTCCTCCTTCTTCTGGGAAGTCATTCATCATGGGAGCTGATGAAGCCCTTGAAAGTGAACTGGGACTTGGAGAATTAGCAGGCCTTACAGTGGCCAATGAAGCAGATTCACTAACTTATGATGTAAGTATTTTTTAAAATGTTTTCATAAGTATATAGCTTGTTCAGTTTTAATTGTAAATATTGAGCATCGTATTTTTGCTTTTGTTGTTTTCTGCTTAAGTCAAGTATCATTTCTGTTGTTGGTCCTTTAATGGTCTGATTCTTTTCTCTGATTTTATTTATGACTTTATTGTCAGACGAAGTTTGATTTTTTGTTTAAACTTCTTGAAGCTCTTAGATCTTCATGGCTTTACGTATTTTCATTAGTTTAGTAAAGTTCTCAGCCATGCAATGACTGCTTTTTATTCTCTTCCTTCTGGAACTTTTATTTAGTAGATCTCCTTTCCATAACCTCAGTTCGTTATTCTCCTTTATCTTTCTGTGACCTGTCTTTGAGATCACTAATTTTCTTTTCAGTTGAATGCAACCTATAGGTAAACCTGCCTATTGAGATTTTTTGCTTCTAGAATTCTTTTTGTTCAAAAATTTCTTCCAAAACTTTTAGTCTTGCAGTCTTTAAAAAAATGTAAGATTTATTTATTTATATGAAAGGCAGAGTCACAAAAACAGAGATGGAGAGAGAGGTCTTCTGTCTGCTGGTTCACTCCCCAAGTGGCCGCTAGGACCAGGACTAGGCCATGTTGAAGCCAGGATCCTTGACCTCCATCCAGGTCTCCTGTGTGGGTGACAGGGACCCAAGCACTTGGGCCATCTTCCACTGCTCTCCCAGGCACATTAGCAGGAAGCTGGATTGGAAGTGGAGCATCTGGGACTCAAATCAGCACTAGTATATGGGATGCCAGCCTTGCAGGTGGTGGCTTAACTGCCCATAATTCTGGTTTCCCATCTTTTGTCTTTATATATATATAATATATATATGTAAAATATATATATTATTTTTTTCTTTATTTGAAGACAGAGTTACAGAGAGGTATACACACAGAGAGAGAGAGAGAGAGGTCTTCATTCGTTCGCTGGTTCACTCCCCAATTGGCTGCAATAGCCAGAGCTGAGCTGATCCAAAGCCAGGAACCAGGAGCTTCTTCCAGGTGTCCCACATAGGTACAGGGGCTCAGGTGCTTGGGCCATCTTCCACACTTTCCCAGGCCATAGAAGAGAGCTGGATTAGAAGTGAAGCAGCTGGGGCTTGAACTGGCCCCTAAATGGGATGCTGGCAATGCAGGCTGGGGCTTTACCCGCTTTACCACAGCACAAGCCCCTTTTGTCTTTTTGAACGTAGTGAAAGCGTGATTGCTTTAAAGTTGGAGACTCTGTAGTTGTATTACCATTATGTCTTGTTTTCTGTTTACACTGTCTTAGCTCCTGTGTGCAGTTACTTTTTATGTCTGAATAACTTTATTTGGAAAGTTGTTTGTAGAAATAACTTCAGACTCAGGGTGATAGCTTCCATTAGAGAATATATGTTCATTTGTTTTTCTCAGAGGTCTGTAACCACTACAAACCTGAAATTAGTTTCTTCCATTTTCAGTTTTTGAGATGGTCTAAACCTGACCTTTAGTCCGCAAGGCCTTCTCTGGGATGCAACCCTATAAAGCCATAAGCAAAGCAAAGTAGTGCACCACGCCTAATTTTCTTGGTAGGTCCTCTGCATCAGTTTTTATCTCTGTGGCAACAGAAAACCATGAAAAATATTGCTTGGTTTCTCAACCATCCTTCTGGAATCAGTAAATACCCTCTGGGAAAAAATAGCCACAAACATTGTGCTCACCTCTGTAGGCCTGTGTTCTCCCTTGGATCTTAGCTTTCTTAGTTTATCTTCACTATTTTTCACTATTTTGTTGATTCTTCACATTTTATATTTAGTTCTGCTTTTCCACTTCTCCATAATCAGAGGTGCTGCCAGTTATCTAGTTCATCATGACTAGAAGCAGAAGTTCGCATTAGATACTTCATTCTTTCTATAACAACCCTACAAAGAATTTGTCCAGTATTTAATGAAACTTACTCCTCTCTAGAGAAAGTTCATTCTTTTTTCATAGAAAATGTGGTATTGTGTCACCCTGTTTTCAAAAGTAGTTCTTGGTTTTATTAAATGTATTAGTAATTTTTTGCTGTGTAACAGATTATGCCAAAGCTTAACAACTTAAAATGACAAACATTGTATAGTTTCTTTGAGTCAGGAATTCAGGAAGCAGCTTAGCTGTGCAGTTCTGGCTCAAGGACTTTCATGTAGTCAGGATGTTGTCAGGGACTGAAGTCTTACCTGAAGACTAGGCTTGGGGAGGATATACTTCATTGCTCCTCGTGGATAGTGGAAGTCCTGGGTTCTTTGCTAGGTATTGTCTGGAAAACTAGTTCTTCACCACATGGACCTCACCATGGCAGATGGCTTCCTCTGCGGTGAGTGTATGGGGAAAGAGGAAGGGGCTGGCGCTGTGGCGCAGCGGGTTAACACCCTGGCCTGAAGCACCGGCATCCCATATGGACGCCGGTTCTAGTCCCAGCTGCTCCTGTTCTGATCCAATTCTCTGCTATGGCCTGGGAAAGCAGTAGAAGATGGCCCAAGTCCTTGGGCCCCTGCACCCACGTGGGAGACCTGGAAGAAACTCCTGGCTCCTGGCTTCGGATCGGCACAGCTCCGGCCGTTGCAGCCATCTGGTGAGCAAACCAGCAGAGGGAAGATCTCTCTCTGTCTCTACCTCTCTCTGTAACTCTGTCTTTCAAATAAATAAAATAAATATTAAAAAAAAAAAAAAAAAAGAGGAAGAGAGGGACATCCAAGATATGTGGCTTTATAACTTAATCTTGTAAGTAGCTTGAGTCACTTCTGTATGCTCTTAGTTACACAGATCAACACTGTAATGTGTGAGGGAACTATACAAGGTATAAGTACAGGGAGGTAGGGCTGACTGGAAACCATTTTGGTGGCTACCTTCTACATTAAGAGATTCACAAAGATTCAGCTGTTTTACAAGAGCAAACATAATTCAACCCAAGATGATTTTTTCCAGGATAACCAGCCTCAACAGTTAGAGTAGTCTTTGCATGATATGTTTTGTGTTCTCTTATCACCATATTTGTGACATTTTCTATCTAGTTCTTTTCTGAGCACTGCCTTACTGAGTATGCCCTCTAGAACCAGACTGCTTTGGTTTGTATGTAGGCTTCTTTATTTAGTAGCAGGGTTCTTTGGGCAAGTCACTCAAATTCTCCATTCCTGATGTGTTAAGTCTGTAAAGTAGAGATGACATTAATTCCTAAATCAAAAAATTATTATGAGGGTTAAACAATTTACTAATGCATGTAAAGTATTTTAAATAATGTTTAAAATAATGGATAATATTCAAAATAGCAACTGTTGTTAGTTTTGCTGCTTTTTTGTCATTGTAAGTATGGTAATATTTCTCCTATATGTCAACAATTCTTGTCCCAATCTTGTTTAAACCTAGTGTGATTGTTAGTCTTAGAGTATGAAGAGGTCATATGTGGTGCTAGTGTAAAGTCAATTACCAGCTACTCTTCAGCTTTCTTGTTAGTTGGAATGAAAAATAATGCAGTTTTTTCAATTGTTGAGATAAAGTTAACATAGAGAAAAAAACCCCACATTGTTTGTTTTACCGATGAACAATAGTTTTTGTGATATTGGATTATGTTTTCCATTTTTAACATTCTCTGTTTCTACTTTGTAAACCTTGTTCCTAATTTGATGAAGAAAATTGGCTCCTGTTACAAAGTATTGAAAACTCAGAAGTATGATCATATTCTAAAATGTTGTTTAAAGACAACTTAGTTATTTAATTCTTATGAAAATTATACTTTCTATCCTACATTATAATTTGAATTACTTGGCTTTTAAATTCATGTGGTGGCTGGCGACACGGATCACTAGGCTAATTCTCCGCCTGCAGCACTGGCATTCCAGGTAGTAGTCCCGGTTGGGGCACCGGTTCCGTCCCGGTTGCTCTTCTTCCAGTCCAGCTTGCTCTTCTTCCAGTCCAGCTCTCTGCTGTGGCCCGGGAAGGCAGTGGAGGATGGCCCAAGTGCTTGGGCCCTGCACCTGCATGGGAGACCAGGAGGAAGCACCTGACTGCTGGCTTCGGATTGGCGTGGTGCACTGGCCGTAGGGCCATTTTGGGGGTGAACCAACGGAAGGAAGACCTTTCTCTCTCTCTCTCTTTCTCTCATTGTCTAATTCTGCCTGTTAAAAAAGAAAATTTTAAAAATTCATATGGTGATGATCTATTTCATATATGACTCTATCCACTTTTTATATTGAATTATATTTTCTTGTTATAACTTTCATATTTCTTCAAAGAAAACTGTTGACATCTTGCTAATTTTACCTATTGATCTGGTTATTTACATTTAAAAATTATTGTTTTGAAAATCATGACATGTGATGATTTAATGGCAAATCAGTAAGAAGTAATGTTATAACAGATTTTTTTTGCCTTATCTTGAACTAAATGTTTAAGTATCTTTGTTTTGTTTCTTTAATAGATAGCAAACAATAAAGATGCATTGAGGAAGACATGGAACCCTAAGTTTACATTAAGAAGTCACTTTGATGGCATCCGAGCCCTTGCTTTCCACCCTGTCGAGCCTATTTTGATAACAGCATCAGAGGATCATACTTTAAAAATGTGGAATTTGCAGAAAACAGCTCCAGCCAAAAAGTAAGGATATTCTACTCTGAGTATTTTTTAAAAGGTTTATTTATTTAAAAGACGAGTGACAGAGAGAGAGAGTAAGAGACAGAGAGAAAGATTTATCTTCCATCCATCCAGGGATGGGCCATGCTGAAGCCAGGAGCCAAGAACTTTATTCGAGTCTCCCACATGGGTGGGAGGAACTCAGGTTCTTGAACCATTATTGCTGCTTCCTAGGCACATTAGCAGGGATCCCGCTGGTTTGGAAGTGGAGTAGCCAGGACTTGAACCGGCATTCCAGTATGGGATGCAGGCATTGCAAGTGGTGACTTAACCCACTTCATCACCATAGCACCTGCCCTTATTTGAATATATTTTAATTAAACTTTTAAGCACAAAAAATATATATTTTTTAAAAGATTTTATTTATTTATTTGAGAGGTAGAGTTACAGACAGTGAGAAGGAGAGACAGAGAAAGGTCTTCCATCTGCTGGTTCACTCCCCAGATGGCCACAACAGCCAGAGCTGGGCTCATCTGAAGCCAGGACCCAGGAGCTTCTTCCAGGTCTCCCACGTGGATGTAGGGGCCCCTTTCACTGGACTACCTTTCACTGCTTTCCCAGGCTATAGCAGAGAGCTAGATTGTTAAGAAGAGCATCTGGGACTAGAACCAGTGCCCATATGGGATGCCGGCACTGCAGGCAGAGGACTAACCTACTGTGTCCCATGTATTGTATTCTTTGCTGTAGTGTTCCAAGAATCTCTTCCAGTTCAGGCTACTTGAACACATCATGCAGCTTAGAGTATTTTTTTCCATTGTGCAATCTAATATTAGATTGGAAAACTGATGCTTAGGAAAGAATGATATTAACCAATTGTATCCACAGGGTTTGTGAATGATGATTACAGTCTTCATAATATAAAGTATTTTAAATGACTCATATTTGGGGAATCTCTTATCTATAGTGAAGGTTTATTCTATTTTTTCTAAAAAGGCATAGCATGTTTAAAATCATCAAAGTTTTTCACTTTCCTCCCCCATTGTTTACTAGGTTTGGACTTAGACAAGGTAGAGTAGAGAAAAGCTGATTGGGAGGTCTAGGGCACTTCTCTTAGGTCTAGTCTTTTGACCTAAACCCTGCAGGTACTTTTCACACCCAGCACTATGTCTGGATTGAAAGGTACTCTTGGGGCCTTTGTTTTGTGGCATAGTGGGTAAAGCCACTGCCTGTGATGCTGGCATCCCACATGGCGCCTGTTCATGTTCCAGCTGCTGTACTTATCATCCAGCTCCCTGCTATTGGCCAGTGCACTCCTCCTACTCATATGAGAGACCTGGAAGAAATTCCTGCCTCCTGGCTTTGGCCTGGCTTAGCTGTGATCATTGCAACAATCTGGGGAGTGAACCAGCTGATAGAAGATTGATTCTCTCTGTCTCTCTCTCCTCCGCACCTCTCTCACTCTCCGTACCCCTTTTCCTCTCCCTCCTCCTCCTCCTCTTACCCTGTGTAACTCTGACTTTGAAATAAATAAACAGATGGCCAGCGCTGCGGCTCACTAGGCTAATCCTCCGCCTTGCGGCGCCGGCACACTGGGTTCTAGTCCCGGTCGGGGCTCTGGATTCTGTCCCGGTTGCCCCTCTTCCAGTCCAGCTCTCTGCTGTGGCCAGGGAGTGCAGTGGAGGATGGCCCAAGTGCTTGGGCCCTGCACCCCATGGGAGACCAGGATAAGCACCTGGCTCCTGCCATCAGATCGGCGCGGTGCGCCAGCTGCGGCGGCCATTGGAGTGTGAACCAACGGCAAAGGAAGACCTTTCTCTCTGTCTCTCTCTCACTGTCCACTCTGCCTGTCAAATAAATAAATAAATAAACAAACAAACAAACAGGAACAAAAAGGGGCACTGTTTTTTCTGTCCCTTTAACTGTTAGTGCTTGCCTCAGATCATTGATTTCCTATCTAAGTGTGGGCAGACATGACTTAGTAGAAAGCCTTTTAACAGCCCCCAAGCTGATTTCCATCCCACTTAGGATAATTATTGGAGCTTCTCTCCTTCTGTGGGTCACATGGTCCAGAATCAGTGTGTGCCAGCATTGGCCTTCTGCTGTGTCAAGCACTTCTATTATTACAAGAATACAACTGAACATCAGATAGAGAAGATTACAGAAATTTTACTACTGGTAGAGGAAGAAATCTGTTGTATAGTTTGAAAGAGATAAGAAATGTATCCCTTCAAAACCCTCATTGTTTCTCCTGAGTGAAGCTATTTCTCAACTCAGATTTTGACAGTCTAAAATCACAGTAGCAAAATACTACTATTAAACAAGTAGTTTTGATTCTTGATGCCATGGAAATATGATTGAAATTGGGTAAGCTTATTTTTGTAACCTGTGGTTGAGAATGGTGTATTACAACTGTATTTGTATTTCTAAAGGCAGTTTTGTCATGTTTCTGTCATATTGTTTACTACCAAAACTTCAATTGGTAAAAGTTGTCTTCTATCTCTGATTTAGGAGTACTTCTCTGGATGTAGAGCCTATCTATACATTTAGGGCTCATAAGTAAGTATGTGATTTTTCTTTATTTTAAACCAACATTGTCAAAGAGCTTGTAGGATATTTTACTTTTGTTTACTTACTTTTTTTTGTATTTAGTAGTTTTTGTAAATGTGAAAGAAGCTGACAGATAATACTAAAAGCAAGTTTATCACAAAAATAGGGATCCCTGCTGAAATTGGTTTTTATTTGCATGTTTAAGTGATATATGTATATATTAAAGTGATTGGATTTAAATATTAGATATCCTAGTAATTTTTTTTTCCTTAAAGATAACCTGATTCAAGTATCGAAAGTTTTTTTTTCTTTATTGTGATCACACATTGCATGCTTATCCTATTTCTATTTAAGGTTAAGGTGTCTTTTCATTTGATGAAGTACAGAGATTGGCATACTGTTTGTATAAAGGGTCAGATGGTAAATATTTTTTAATCTTTGCAGGTTATATATACTTGCTTTTGTATATTGATTTTATTTGTTTTACAATCCTTTAAAAATGTAAAAGACATTGTTCACATGAGGACTATATAGAAGCAAGCCTACTGGTTGGATTTGGCCTGTAGTCTGTAGCTTGCCAACTGCTGTTTTAGCAGAGAAAGAAAAACAAGTAATGCTTTATAGTATTTTTATTCACTGTAAAAAAAAAAAAGTAACCACTTGAGTAATTAAACCTTCTTATTTTTAATGTTAAGAATATTATCAGGTTGATGTTTAAATTTTTTAATCTCTCAGAGGTCCAGTTCTTTGTGTGGTAATGAGCAGCAATGGTGAGCAGTGTTACAGTGGTGGTTCTGATGGACTAATACAAGGCTGGAATACCACTAATCCCAACATTGACCCCTATGACTCTTACGGTATGTGATGGCCCGAAGGTCTGAAAGAGTAAATGTTTTCTTTTTATATGTTTTTTCATGATAGGTACAGGTTAAACATCCCTTATCCTAAATGCTTGGAACCAGAAGTGTTTCAGATGTTGGATTTTTTTTTTTAAAGATATGTTTGTTTATTTGAAAGGCAGAGTTACAGAGAGGCAGAGGCAGAAGCAGAGGGGGAGAGAGAGGGAGAGGAAAGTCTTCATTCCATTGCCATAGGCCATAGCAGAGAGCTGGATCAGAAGTGGAGCAGCTGGAACCAGCGCACACATGATATGCCAGCACTGCAGGTAGCAGCTTTATGCGCTTTACCTGCTACATCACAGCACCGGCCCTCAATTTTTTTTAATTTTGTGATATTTGCATAGGCATAATGAGATATCCTGTAGAGTGGGACCCAAATCCAAATCCAAATTCATTTATGTTTAATGTACATACTTTATACATAGCCCAAAGGCAGTTTAATACAATATTTTAGTGTGCCTGGCTTTTCACTGTGACCTGTAACATGAGACCAGTTGTAGAACTTTTCACGTGTGGAGTTCTATCTGTGCTCAAAGAGTTTTCAGATATTGAAGCACTTTGGATTTCATATTTGGATTAGACATGTCCAACATGTGAAAGAATTCAAATAGATATTTCTGAAGACTAATATGTAAAAAGAGAATCACATCTCTTTTTTTTGCTTAAAAAATGGATGACTATATTTAGTTATCAATTTGATACGCTATGTCAAAAGAAAAAAGGCTACACTTCTAGAGAAAACAGTTCCCACTCGTCAGAGTCTTATTGATTAGAAATGCTGTCTTGATTGACAATTATTTTCCTTTTAGGTTTTTCTACAGTACTTGATACTTTATTATTAATCTGTAATCACGTTTCATCACTGCTCTTAACAAATGACTTTGAAGGAAAGATAAGTGTTGGCATCCTCTCCTTAATCAGTTGTTGGAGGAAAATGTAGAGGCTAGTAACTTAAATTTTCTGATGCCCCTTTTTTTGTGTGTGTAGTGGGGGAGATACAAGAACTTTATTGAAAGAAGAGTGCCGTGAAATTTGTTGAAAGTTTGAGAGCGGGAACTTAGACACTTCCCCTCAGGTGCAGGGCCAAGTGCAGAGTGGACTCTTTCTGAATGTTGTAGTCAGACAGGGTACGATCATCTACCAGCCACTTTCAACAAAGATCAACCTCTGCTGGTCAGAGGGGATGCCTTCCTTGTCTTGGATCTTTGCCTGGATTTTGTCAGTGGTGTTACTGGGCTCAACCTCGAGGGTTAATACGTTAAGATGTGTCATTTGGTCTTAAGAAAGGTATCCTAAACCATAAATCCATATCTTACTAGAATTTCCCTGGTTTTCTCAAATTGTAGAATGGTTTAAAAGTATCATATTTGTGTAACAGTATATTTCAATTTCAGTATCACTGTGGACTGAATTTGATACCAAACCTTACTAAAGATAAGGAATTCAATAAAAATTTCTTCCAATATTTATTTATTTGAAAGAGTAACAGAGAGGGAGGGAAAGAGAGAGAGATACCTTGTATCTGCTGATTCACTCCCCAGCTGCCCTAAATAGTCAGATCTGGGCTAGGCTGAAGCCAGGAGCTCAGAACTCCATGTGAGTGGCAGAAACCCAGGAATTGGAACCATTATCTGCCATCTCCCAGGCACATTAGCAGGGAGATTCTGGATTGAAAGCAGAGCAACTGGAACTAGGAGTGGCATTCCAATATGAAATATAGGCATTGCAATGGATGACTTAACCCCCTGTGCTACAATACTCTCCCCACTAATATTTATTTGGTAATCATTAAACACATACTGTGAAAACTTACACACCCTCAACTCTCCCCATAACAAATTATCTGTTTTGTGCTTTCTTTCTCTGTGTCTCATTCTGCCCCAGTCCCACCCTTCCTTTTTTGTTGCTGACCTTATTCTTTCAGTTTCTTTAGGGGCTATACTTGAATCTGTCTCTCTTTGGAACTGCACTCCAATCTCTTACTCTTGCTCTTGTACTGATTCTCATCTTAATTAAACTTTACCCTCTTTGCTCTCTTTTTTTCCTATTTTTTTCAACTTTTATTTAATAAATATAAATTTCAAAAGTACAACTTTTGGATTATAGCAGCTTTTCCCCCCATAACCTCCCTCCCACCCACAACCATCCCATCTCTCCCATTCCATCTCCCATCCCATTCTTCATCAAGATTCATTTTCAATTATCTTTATATACAGAAGATCAACTTAGTATATACTAAGTAAAGATTTCAACAGACTGCACCCACACAGACATACAAAGTATAGAGTACTGTTTGAGTACTAGTTATATCATTAATTCGCATAGTACAACACATTAAGGACAGAGGTCCTACATGGGGAGCAGGTGCACAGTGACTCCCGTTGTTGATTTAACAATTGACACTCTTGTTTATGGAGTCAGTAATCACCCAAGGCTCTTGTCATGAGCTGCCAAGGCTATGGAAGCCACTTGAATTCACAAACTCTGATTGTATTTAGACAGGGCCATAAGCAAAGTGGAAGTTCTCTCCTCCCTTCAGAGAAAGGTACCTCCTTCTTTGATGGCTCGTTCTTTCCAATGGGATCTCCCTTACAGAGATCTTTTATTTAGTGTTTTTTTTTTTTTTTTTTTGGTTTTTTTTTTTTTTTTTTTTTTTTTTTTTGCCAGAGTTTCTTGGCTTTCCATGCCTGCGAAACTCTCATGGGCTTTTTAGCCAGATCTGAATGCCTTAAGGGCTGATTCTGAAGCTAGAGTGCTGTTTAGGGTGTTTGTCATTCTATGAGTCTGCTGTGTATCCTGCTTCCCATGTAGGATCATTCTCTCCTTTTTTAATTCTATCAATTATTATTTGCAGACATTGGTCTTATTTATGTAATCCCTTTGACACTTAATCCTATCTTTTTGATCAATTATGAACTTAAACTGATCACTTTAACAAGTGAGATGGCATTGGTACATGCCACCTTGATTTGATTGAATTGGAATCCCCTGGCACGTTTCTAGCTCTACTGTTAGGGGTAAGTCCGAGTGAGCATGTGTCGACTGTACATCTTCTCTCTTATTCCTACTCTTATATTTAACAGGAATCACTTTTCAGTTAATTTTAAATGCCTAAGAATAATTGTATGTTAATTAAAGGGTTCAACCAATGGTATTAAGTAGAACAACAAAATACTAAAAGGAATAAAATAGTAAGTTGTTCCTTGACAGTCAGGACAAGGGCTGATCAAGACATTGTTTCTCATAGTGTCCATTTCACTTCAACAGGTTTCCTTTTAGGTGCTCAGTTAGTTGTCACCGATCAGGGAGAACATATATTTGTCCCAAAGGGACTGTCTTTGCTCTCTTAAAGCAAAAATTTCCTCAAATTTAGGTATCTCCCATTCTTGGCAAGAAGACTTTTCTTGACCCCATTTTCCTTTTTGTCTTCTATTTAGTCTCTTTCTTTTCCTTATCATTTATGTTTTTCTTGATGATATTGTCTAGAAAACATAATGACTAGTTACTAATTCCATGTCCTTTCCCTGTGTATCATCTCCATGCATTGTGGCTTCTGGCTACATTACATAAATACAAGATTGCCAATGATCAGCTAATTACCTGGTCTGAAAGTATATTGTAATCCTTATTTACTAAATGTATGGGCTGTTTCAGGAACTTTCACAACTTTTTTTTTTTTTTTTTTTTTAAGATTTATTTGAAAGAATCAAAGAGAAGGAGGGAAAGAGAGTTGGGAGGGGAGGGGGAATGAGAGAGGGAGAGGAAAGCTCTTCCTTCCACTGGTTCACTCCACAAATGGCTTTAACAGCCAGGGATGGGCTATGCTGAAGCCAGGAGCCAGGAATTTTATTTGGGTGTCCCACATGTGTGGCAATAGCCCGAACACTTACACCATCTTCTGCTGCTTTCTCAGGCACATTAGCAGGAACCTCGAACAGCCATGACTCAAGCTGTTGCTCATTTGAAATGCTGGCATTGCAGATGATGACTTAACTCACTCTGCTCCAACACCAGTCTCCACCCTCCTTTTTCAAGTTTGTCCTATTGCCTTTTTTTTTTTTTTGACACTATAACAGTTTCTGTTCCCTATCCTTCATGAATTCTCTTTATTTCTCTTACCTTAAGTATCTGCATTTCCCAAGGCTAAGATCTGACTCATTCTTTGTAGTGTTCAAATGTTCCTTGGGAGATTGAATCTACTTCTGTCGCTTTTATGTGCTGTTGGCTTATAAGTGTATTCAGAAAGTAAGCTTCAGACTGCTTACAGGAAGTTTCAGATCGGCTGTCTTCATTCTCTATAAATCCCAACATGTCCTGTGTTTCTTCTGTTTATTCCAGAATTACCTGAAGTAGAAACCTGAGAATTACCTGATTTTTTTTTTTCCTCTGACATGCTATCCACAGCTCCTTAATTACCTTGGTGTTTTTTTTTTTTTTTTTTTTTAATCTGATTCCCTAAATATTTCTTGAATTTTCTCCCTCTGCTCTGGTCTTTTACACTTGATCTTTGCCAAAAGGCCGAGAAGTGATTGCTCTGGTCTTTTACCACTGTCCTATATTATGTCTTTTTCATCACTCTTCCAATGTGCTAAACCAGTCCCCTTGCCTTTATCTGGATTCTGTCCAGGTTATCGTCTGTATTACAGCTGTGTTTTCCTTAGACACTTCACTGCTCCCTTTTTGTTTCCTGTTGCTTTCAGGATAGCTCCAGTTTCCTTAATGTATCACAGAGATTCCACCATGAACTAACTCTCCTCATCTCATACATTTCCTGCTTCAGCCGCCACATGACAGTAATACTGAATTTCTTAGAAATCTCCTTGCATAGCATATTATTTTTCCTTTAGTGTTTTGTAGGTGCTGCCCCCTTGCCAGGCACACCCTTCTGTTTTCTGACTTGCTGCATCTTTATACTATAATGTCATGCTCTCCAAGAGGTTTCTACTCACACCAGTTACTCTCCATGGTAGCTGGTATCTGTCACTTGTGTGTACTCCCAATATTCTTTGAGGACGGGGCAGTGTTGTGTCCTCATCACTGAGTGGTGCTAGCATTAATGATAGTGTTTGATATACAGTGTATTTTCAATAAATATTTTGTGGTGTCAGAGAGAAGGTAGAAGACATTTCCAGACTTAATGTCTGTAACTCATCTTGAAAATGCCAGTTTTTAGAATCCTTGTGAGGATTAATAATGAAATATTCCAAATTAACTTTTTCATGAGATTGTGCAACTCGCCCTCCTCACCTCCCTCCTCCTCTTCCCCCCACATACATCATCCATATATCAGTTATTGTTGTTTGAAAATTTGGGGAATCCTGTAAGTCTCAGAGCTGTCCATTCTTATGTCATGCTCCTAGGAATAATTGCCATATTCGTTGTACAGCAGGGTAAACGGCCTGCAAGACGTGAGGCCAGAGTGCTACAGGTGTTTGGGGTGGGGGCAAAGACCTTTTCACTTCCTCAGAGAGTGAGTTGTGGTTGCTCCAAGGTGATTTAGTTCGAATACTATGTATTAACATTCTTTTAAAAATTCAGACAAGTGGAAGAACACAAGGAAAGCGAAAGGCAATGCCTGTCTTGTTTAAGGAGAAATAGATGTGCAATTTAGTTTAAAAATTTAAACTCTACATTTGTGTATTTCCAAGCTCCCCCTCCCTTTATTTATTACTGCAGAAGTGTAGAATAATAATAAACTAGAAAACATTCTCTACTATTGTCAAATGCTTTTGTTTATACATTTTAGTTTCTGTGGAATCTAAGTGCCTTTTTAATTTGGGTTTTCTCCTCTTGACTTTGCAATGTTTTGCTGTTTCGTGTAGATCCTTCTGTTTTAAGAGGACCTCTGCTCGGCCACACGGATGCAGTCTGGGGTTTGGCTTACAGTGCAGCACACCAGCGTTTGTTGTCCTGCTCAGCAGATGGCACTCTGCGTTTATGGAATACAGCTGAGGCTGCTCCAGCACTGAGTGTATTTAATGATAACAAAGGTACATACTTTTAAAAATTATTGTATTAAATCTTTATAAACATCTTTTACTGAAAACAAACGAACAAATAAAAAATGGTTCTATAAACTCTTATTCTTAATTATTCTCTAAATTCTTCACCTCTCCAAAGTTCCTTTGTGTCCTTTCCAATCAATCCCTTCTCCCCATTACCAACTAGAGGTCCTCACTGTTGTGGTTTCTTTTTCTATTTCTTTTTTTTTTTTTCTATTTATTTTATTTATTTATTTTTGACAGGCAGAGTGGACAGTGAGAGAGAGAGAGACAGAGAGAAAGGTCTTCTTTTTGCCATTGGTTCACCCTCCAATGGCCACCGCGGCTGGCGCGCTGTGGCTGGTGCACCGCGCTGTCCGATGGCAGGAGCCAGCTGCTTCTCCTGGTCTCCCATGGGGTTCAGGGCCCAAGCACTTGGGCCATCCTCCACTGCACTCCCTGGCCACAGCAGAGAGCTGGCCTGGAAGAGGGGCAACCGGGACAGAATCCGGCGCCCTGACCGGGACTAGAACCCTGTGTGCCGGTGCCGCAGCCGGAGAATTAGCCTATTGAGCCGCGGCACCGGATTGTTGTGGTTTCTTTCATCATAGGTTAGTATTGTCTATTCTCTGTAAGTGAAATAGGTATTAAAATTTCACATAAGTGAAATAATACCATATAAACTTTTTTTTTTTCTTTTTTTGGACAGGCAGAGTTGGACAGTGAGTGAGAGAGTTACAGACAGTGAGAGAGAGACAGAGAGAAAGGTCTTCCTTCCATTGGTTCACTCCCCTAATGGCTGCTACGGCTGGTGTTGCACCAATCCGAAGCCAGGAGCTGGGTACTTCCTCCCGGTCTCCCATGTGGGTGCAGGGGCCCAGGCACTCGGGCCATCCTCCACTGCCCTCCCAGGCCACAGCAGAGAGCTGGATTGGAAGAGGAGCAACCGGGACTAGAACCAGGGTGCGGGCATCGCAGGCGGAGGATTAGCCAAGTGAGCCACAGCGCTGGCCCATATATACTCTTTCATATCAGGCTTTTTACTGACTATAATGTTTCTATAATTCATCTATGTTATATCGGTTTATTTGCCTTTATTGCTTAATAGTCTGACTAAACTATAATTTTGTCTGTTCATTTACTTCTTGATGGACATTCAGGTTGTTTCCAGGTTTTGGCTATTATGAACACAGCTGCTATGAACATTGATATATTTTCATTATAGGTGGGTAGACACCTAGAAGTAGAACTGCTAGGCTTCAGGGTGGGTGCTTACTCTACTGTATGTGAAATTGGCAAAAATTTTCCCCAAGGTGGTTGTGGCATTTTATACCACTTATAGCAATGTCTGAGAGTTCTTGCTCTATATCCATACCAGCATTTGGTGTTGTCAGTCTGTTTTAACATTAGCCATACTGTTGGGCATGTAGTAGTATTTCATTTTAGTGGTTGTTTGCATTTCCTTGATGACTAATTATGTTGAATACTTTTGCTTATTGACTATTTGTATATCTTCTGTAATATAAACATTTTTGAGTTGTTGGTTTGCTTCAGATTTTGAGCCAAATGAAAAAATCAGATTATGATATTCATTTTATACATAATTACCCTATTTGATGTTTATAAATAAGGTGAAAGTAAAAATACCTTCTTTGTTCTTGACCTATTATGCTTGTCTCTGTGCTTTGATGAATTGCCTGCATTTGAGATCTGCATGACTAACAATAAATAACAACATGAATTTACTTTTTAAATTTGATGAATTAAAATTCCTAATAAGAGATGTTATACAGGGAGCTAGTGCTGTAACATAGCAAGTGGCATTCCATATAGGCACTGATTTGAGTTCTGGCTGCCCCAGTCTGATCAAGCTCTCTGCTATGGCCTGGAAAAGCAGCGGAAGATGGCTCAAGTACTTGGGCCCCTGCACCCACATGGGAGACCTGGAAGAAGCTCCTCACTCTTGGCTTCTTTTTTTTTTTTTTTTTTAATTTTTTTTTATTTTTTGACAGGCAGAGTGGACAGTGAGAGAGAGAGACAGAGAGAAAGGTCTTCCTTTGCCGTTGGTTCACCCTCTAGTGGGCGCCGCGGCCGCAAGGCGGAGGATTAGCCTACTGAGCCGCGGCACCGGCCACTCCTGGCTTCTGTTCTGCCCATCTCCAGCCATCGTGACCATCTGGGGAGTGACTCGGTGGATGGAAGATCTCGCTTTCTCTCTCTCTGTCTCTCTGCCCTTCAAATAAATAAATAAAAATCTTTTTAAAAATGTTATATAAATGAAGAATTACTACAATCCAAGCTCAGGTTAAAGTAGAAACAGCAAAACTTGCAATCCATACACATTTTCATTTGCTTTCTTTTTTTTTAAGATTTATTTATTTATTCATTTGAAAGTCAGAATTACACAGAGAAAGAGAGAGATTTCCTTCGTATCCACGGGTTCACTCTCCAAATGGCCACAACCCAGGATCCAGGAACTTTTTCTAGGTCTCCCACGTGGATGCAGGGGCTCAGTATTTGGACCATCTTCCACTGCTTTCCCAGGCACCTTAACAGGAAGCTGGATTGGAAGTATAACAACTGGATCTTGAAGCTGCACCATATGGGAAGGCAGCATTGCAGGCGGTGGTTTTACCTGCTGTGCCACAATGCCAGTTCCTTCGTTTGCTTTCTAGTTAAAAATTTGCATTCCTTGAATGTATTATTTGCATTATAAGTAGGAAATCTGCTGAACAGGTAAGGATAATAAATAATCTAGAGCTAAAAGTTACAAAATAAATAATCTTTGTTGATTGGTTATGAACTAATTCTTAATCTAATGACAAACTTTATTTCTTAAAGAAACCTTTCCATAATTTGTTTTGCTAGATATTAAGCACATTTTTAAGGAGACCCTTTAATTGCCATTCTTTTGTTTATTTTCCGTCTCTTTTAGAATTGGGAATCCCTGCTTCTGTGGATCTAGTAAGCAGTGACCCAAGCCTTATGGTAGCATCATTCAGCAAAGGATATACCAGCATATTTAACATGGAAACACAACAACGCATTCTTACTTTAGAATCCAATCCAGATACAAGTATGTATACTACTTTTAAATAGACTTTGCTTGGATCAGTTTTTAACTTAAAATTATAACTAGTAGTGTCAACTATGAAAACGACTTGTGATTATTAAGTTCTCTGCATCTTGTATCTCAGAACAGAGTTGCTTAGAAGGACATAATGATTTACAATTGATTTTTCAAGAGTTCAGGTTAAGTTTCTAGAAATACTATTTAGGATAGCATTTGAACTATTCCAAAGATAAGTCAAGCTTATGTTATACCAAAGGACTAATTTTCAATTCTGTTGGAAGAAAGCAGTATTTGTTCTGAATAAAAAATTAAATAGGCAGAACTCAGTAGCTGCCAGAAACGTCTGATGCTTTGGCCCTAGGAGCAGTTAGTGGAGCAAGCAAGGGATCGCTTACACCTGCGTGGACTACAGAACAGCACGTGCCAGAAGGGAAGTACAAGTCAAACGTAGGAAGATGGCTTCATTGAGCAATCAAGAGTGTCAGTTGTATGGACGTTCTCAGCGGCAGTAAATACCTGCAGAGGATTTCCAGGAGGAACTGAGGCAGGCATTCTTAGCTGAGACACCAAGAGGTGGTTAGAGGAAGTATTAGAACATCAAGGTAGCTGATTTCCAAGCAAAAACAAGACAGTGCAATTTGTATTTTCCTGTCTATCTCTTTTATAACCAAACAGGCCAAAGTTCTATTTATGCTATTTTCCCAAACAATCCTTACCGTGTATCAGGAAGAAACAAAAAGAACACAGAGGATAACAGATTAGAAAAGGAAAAGGAAGAAAGTCCAAATAAAATGGATGACATTTTTAAGAGAGAGCCATGCGGCGCCGGCACACGGGGTTGTGGTCCCGGTCGGGGTGCCGGATTCTGTCCCGGTTGCCCCTCTTCCAGGCCAGCTCTCTGCTGTGGCTAGGGAGTGCAGTGGAGGATGGCCCAAGTGCCTGGGCTCTGCACCCCATGGGAAACCAGGATAAGTACCTGGCTCCTGCCTTCGGATCAGCGCGGTGCACTGGGCGCAGCGCGGTGGCCACTGGAGGGTGAACCAACGGCAAAGAAAGACCTTTCTCTCTGTCTCTCTCTCTCACTGTCACCTCTTGCCATTTCTCTGTTGGATATTATCTATAAATTTAAAAACATTTTTTGTTTCTTTTTTTTTTAAGATTTTATTTATTTATTTGAGAGGTAGAGTTACAGACAGAAGAAGAGACAGAGAGAAAGGTCTTCCCTCCGTTGGTTCACTCCCCAAATGGTCGCAACAGCCAGTGCAGTGCCGATCCGAAGCCAGGAGCCTTTTTCCTGGTCTCCCATGTGAGTGCAGGGGCCCAAGGACCTGGGCCATCCTCCACTGCTTTCCCAGGCCACAGCAGAGAGCTGGATTGGAAGAGGAGCAGCCAAGAGTAGAACCAGCACCCATATGGGATGCTGGCACCACAGGCGGAGGATTAACCTACTGCGCCATGGCGCCGGCCGCACGTTTTTCATTTCTTAAAATTTAATTTTTTAAATAATCTTAATTTTCTGTTGTATAATTTATATAACTCAATATTGATTAGAATGTAGATCATGTTGTATTAGTGATTTGATACAGCAAATCAGGAAACAAATGTTTTCTCAGATTATGAAAAAGATACTACAGATTTTTTTGTTTTTGTTCTTTTCCAACCATTGCTCTCTTTGGTTATAATTCAGTCAGTTTAGATTGTATTCAGTAAAGAAAACCACATACACATACAGAGCTGTGTTTAATGGTGTGTGGATATGTGTGCATATCTTTGTGTTAACAAACCTGTCCATGCATATGTGTAAGGAATGGGTATTCCTGCATCTGATGATCTGTCCCTTGCTCTCTCTTAAAAATGTCATCCATTTTATTTGGACTTTCTTCCTTTTCCTTTTCTAATCTGTTATCCTCTGTGTTCTTTTTGTTTCTTCCTGATACACGGTAAGGATTGTTTGGGAAAATAGCATAAATAGAACTTTGGCCTGTTTGGTTATAAAAGAGATAGACAGGAAAATACAAATTGAGACTATAGAATTTAAGAAAGAGTTTTTTTTTCTAAGAAATACAATTTTGAGGCCGGCGCTGCAGCTCACTAGGCTAATCCTCCGCCTTGCGGCGCTGGCACACCGGGTTCTAGTCCCAGTCTAGGCGCCGGATTCTGTCCCAGTTGCCCCTCTTCCAGGCCAGCTCTCTGCTGTGGCCAGGGAGTACAGTGGAGGATGGCCCAAGTGCTTGGGCCCTGCACCCCATGGGAGACCAGGAGAAGTACCTGGCTCCTGCCATCAGATCAGCGTGGTGCGCTGGCTGCAGCCCGCCAGCCGCAGCGGCCATTGGAGGGTGAACCAATGGCAAAAAGAAGACTTTTCTCTCTGTCTCTCTCTCTCTCAGTGTCCACTCTGCCTGTCAAAAAAAAAAAAAAAAAATTTGAGGGCCCATGTTATGGCATAGTGGTGGGTAAAGCCACTGCCTGCGACGCTAGCATCCCATATGGATGCTGGTTCAAGTCCTGACTGCTCCACTTCGAATCCAGCTCTCTGCTAATGGCCTGGGAAAGCAGCAAAAGATGGCCCAAGTGTTTGAACACCTGCACCCACATGGGAGACCTAGATGAAGCTCCTGGCTCTTGGCTTCTGTCTGGCTCAGCTCTAGCCATTGTGGACACTTGGGGAATGAACCAGTGGATGGAAGAACTATCCCTCTCTCTGTCTCTCTCTCTCAATCTCTCAATCTCTCTCTTTCTCTCCTTCTCCCTTGTCTCCCCTCCCCCATTTCTCCCTCTCTCTTTTATAACTCTGTCTTTCAAATAAATAAATAAATCTTAAATATAGTTTTGAACTCTCAGTAAATTTAAAATCACATTTAAAAGCACAGTAGTAAAATTAAAAAGCAGTATGAAATAAAGAAGAATGTGAGCATTTCTAGAAATTACCATCGGAAAATATGACCAATTCTTTTAATTTCCTGAGTGGCAAATGTTTATTTTAATGATTACTACAAGTAGTGAATGCATCAGGTCTTGTGGATAAAATGTATAAGTTGAAACCACTCAAGGGATGTGACCATAAAGTAATATTCTGCCAGGTAATGGAAGCATTTCAGAAGACTGCCAAGAATGTTTTTAACCAAGACAACATTTCTGAAATAAGTGATAATTATTTTAAATTATGATAAATATATCCTGATATTCCTGGATTTACAAGTTATATTACTTTTTTTTTTAAATAAGATGTATGGATTTATTTGAAAGGCAGAGTTACAGAGAGGCAGAGAGAGAAAGAGAGAGAGAGGTCTTCCATCCACTGATTCACTCCCCTGATGGCTGCAACAACTGGAGCTGCGCTGATCCGAAGCCAAGAGACAGGAGCTTCTTTTGGTCTCCCATGCGGGTGCAGGGGTCCAAGGACTTGGGCCATCTTCTACTGCTTTCCCAGGTCATAGCAGAGAGTTGAATCGGAAGTGGAGCAGCTGGGACTCGAACCGGTGCCCATATGGGATGCCAGTACTTCAAGCAGCAGCTTCACCCACTGTGCCACAGTGCTGGTCCCTTGTATTACTTTTAAAGTTATAAAAAGCAAACACATTAATCCTTTACTCCATTCTGCTATGGACTATCCCATTGCTATTTGTGTTTGATTATGTTGTTATATTCTGGAATTTAGTATTCGTTTTAAAAATGATTTATTTTTATTTCTTTGAAAGCAGAGAGAGAGTGAGAGACTGGGACCATCCAAGATGATCCATCCACTGGTTCACTCTCTGAAGGGCTAGGCCAGGCTGAAGTCAGAATCTAGGAAATGTGTCAGATTCTCGCACATGGGTAGCGGGAACTCATCATCCCTACTTTCCACACACAGTAACAGGAAGCTGGATCAGAAGCCAAGATCTGGAGCCCTCATTCCAATATGGGATGTGAGCATCCTAACTGGACCTTAACCCACCAGGACAAAATGCCGGCCTCAAGATTTTTTTGAAGAATTTGGGCCATTCTTGTGTAGCAGGTTAAGCTGCTGCTTGCGGTGCCAGCATTTCTGATCCAGCTCCCTGTTGGTGCGCCTGGGAAAGCAGTGGCAGATGACCCAAGAACTTGAGCCCCTGCCACCTAGTGGGAGATCTGGATGGAGTTCCTGGGTCCTGGCTTTGGCCTGGCCCAGCTTCAGCTGTTGAGGCTATTTAATGAGAGAACCAGTGGATGGAAGGTCTCCTCTGGCTCTCCCTTTCCTCTTTCAAATAAGTAAATAAATATTAGAAGAATTTTAAATTGAAGTTCAAACCAAACATGCTTCAAGGTGAAAGTGAATTTCATATAGAATTGGAAATAATGAAAGATGTTTGTTGTTAGAATAAATTGTTTCTTCTTTTTGATATCAATAGTTATTTTACTATGATAAGTCAATGGTAGTTGAAGTAGATTTTGAATACCTGTGAACCCAGTGTAAAGATTAACATTTCTAAGTCACAGGCTAACTGTGGTATTTAGAGGATTGTTTCAGATTGTTACAATAGCTGTTATGGCTTCAACTCATTTTAGTATTCTTTGCATTTTGCCAACTTTATCTGATTTACCGTCAAATGGAAAAACTTCCTTAAAAGTATTGGAGTGGATTTTTGGCACAGCAATTACTGCTTGGTACACCCACATCTCATGTGGGAGTCCTGGTTCCATTTCTGATTCCAGCATCCTGCTAATATGTAGCTTGTTGACTCCTAGTTGGCTTCCTGCCTCCTGTTTTGGACACCCAGATTGAGTTCATGGCTCCTGGCCTCATCTTGGCCCAGCCCTAGTTGTTGCCAGCATTTGGAGAGTGAGCTAACACATTGAGATGCCTCTGTGACACACTCTCTCTATCTATAGATATATCTATCTATCTATATGTATGTATCTATCTATAGATAGATCTATCTGTATGTATCTATCTATGTATATAGATAGATAGATACATATAGATAGATAGATATAAATAGATGTCTCTCTCTCTCTCTCTCTCTCTCTCTCTCTCTCTCTCTGCCTTTCAGGTTATCAGCCAGTGATGGCTGTTGTTATGAAGAGGATTAAGAACCTCTCCTTGTTATGTTAATTTAAAGATGATAACACTGTAGTAAAGAACTTTCTAGGTAAAAAGAGTTGAACTTTAAATTTGAAGATTATCTACATGTAAGTGATAGTGAAACTTAACAAAAAAAATACAGAATATTGTAAAATGATAAGTATCAGGGACTCTGCTAAACCTTAGGTGGCAGCCATAGATAGTAGTCATAGATAGTAAATGGTAGAAAAAGAAATTCTGATTCTTCACTACCTCCAAATTTATCAATGTAGTGTACTTCAAGCAATTCTCATTTCCTGAAATTGAAATTGTGGAAACAGTTGCAGAATAAATGAACTAAAGACAAATTAAAATCATCTCACTTACTTTTTTAGTCCCTTAGATGAATTTCAGTTTTCCTTTATGTGAAAAAAAAATAGCCATAACTAATTTGTGTTGCTCTTTTTCTTCTTAGCAATCAACTCTTCCTGCCAAATAAATAGAGTCATCAGTCATCCCACTCTGCCAATCAGCATCACTGCTCATGAAGATAGGCACATCAAATTCTATGATAACAATACAGGTACGAATTTATTTATTTAGTGGTTTTTGTTCAAGCAAAAGAAGAAAGAAACCCTACAAAAAAGTTGAGTACTTTTGGTGTCTGTTTTAGTGGCATGATAATCAAAGAATAGATACCAGACACAGGCAGTTCCTTGTCTCAGTTTCTCATCATGCCACCCAAATCTGCTAAGACTAGTTTTCATTCTAAACGATATTTGGATCCTTTTTGTTTAATAGTGAGTAGATGCTATATTTAGGTCCTGGAGCCAATGTTATCACTAGGAGCACAATGAAAAATTCATTCAAATGCAGATTAAAGTGATCTGTTGCTATGATTTATTGCAATATGTTGGGGGAAAATAGAAACATTGGAAGTAAAGGGTATGATCATTATACATGGTAATAAATTATTGTATAGTATTATTCAGTATTGAGTTATTCAGTTAAAAACTAGCCATATTCTGTGTTGCAGATGGAAAACTTACAGGTCATTTGGTTTTCTTTTCCATGGACTAATCTTCTCTGTGTTATAATACTGACTGCTTGGTCCTGATTGATTTGAATTGGAGCATGAGGGGCTTTCACAATTTTTGTTGGGTTACATTTCACCAGTCTAAAAGGAATTCATGAAGAGCTGTGCAGAGGAAAGCATCTTTGTGTTTGCAGCCATATTTATCTGAGTTACCTGTTATTGTCTTTGTTAATATGTTAACTTGTGCTGGCTTTGCTTAACTGCTATGGATAAGTAATTTCATATTTTACATCCTTTTTGTATGTTGTGTACATTATAATTGTGGCCATGTTTCCTTTCTGTTGCTTTGTCTCATTCTTTTTTCTCTGTGAATTTAAGCTCTCTATTCCTACCACCCATATAATTTGCCTGTAGCTAAAGGTTGCAAAGTAGGTGATTAATAGTTTCTAAATCCTCATTAGTGGGAATGACTTAAGAAGATGTTTGTGTAGAAATTAGTAACTTCCATAAGCTGCTTTTGTTCTTCATTATGGTGACTGAAGGTAGGAGACAGGCACATGTTTTAGTTGATGGGAAAAACTGTTGATACAGTAAGTAAACAGGGTAGCTAATGTATATTCAAATGAGGAAAATCATCAATAAATAGGAACAATCTTCTTTTTCCAAAGGTAAACTGATTCACTCGATGGTAGCACACCTAGAAGCTGTTACAAGTTTAGCAGTTGATCCTAATGGCCTGTACTTGATGTCTGGCAGTAAGTACATCAACTATGGATTGTTTATTTGTTCTTATCATCTTTATATAAGTGTAATTTTCCTTTTCAATTTCTTTTCATTTGGTATAGGTCATGACTGTTCAATACGTTTATGGAATCTAGAAAGTAAGACGTGTATTCAAGAGTTCACAGCTCATCGGAAAAAATTTGAAGAATCGATTCATGATGTAGCTTTCCACCCATCCAAATGCTATATAGCCAGTGCTGGAGCTGATGCGCTGGCTAAAGTCTTTGTATGACACAAAGCATCGTTTTCATCATCTAGTTCTTTATAAATAATCAACTGCACAAAAGAGATACAGAAGACCAGGGCAAGAATCAACTCGTCCTGCCCTTTTGTTCTGCTGAAGGAGCACAGAGAACATTTGTTAAAGTATAGTTTTGCAATTCGTATACAGTTTTCTAAAACTAAAGTTTGTTCAGGTTGCTGCAAGCTCAGCTGAATCTGTGAACCTGAAAACTGTTTCAAATTGTCCCCTAAATAGACCCTTTTAATTCTGAGGTGGTTCTAATTCGCTAGGTAGGTCCTTAGCGTACACAGGTTTAGCTTGTCCCTATTGATACAGCGTGCTGTAATGGATAATTAAAAAGCTTGATGGCTGGGAATGAGTAGAGAAAGAGCAGAAACTTAGACCTAGTTCTCCTCTGACAACTCTTATTAAACATGTTAGGTAGTCAAAACAGTAATCTTTATCTGCTGTACTAACTAGCCCCTTTGTGTATGATGACCAGGCAGTGTTAAAATTAGTTTAATTTAGCTCTTTCAGCTATTTACATAAAGCACCTGGCAAAGCATTTTATCTATTAGAGAAAAAAAAATGCAATAATATGTTACATATACTCAGAAATGCTAAACAACTATTTAGTTTGCAAGCAGATTTCTTTATTATATTACAGTTTGAAAATAGATTTGGCATCATTCTAAAGTTTAGCTGTCAGGCACACTCACCATTATAAAGAATAGTCAATAGAATCTGCTTTTACTAACGGACTTAACTTATTCAGGTTTGAGATCTGTTTATTTTTAAGGGCAAACAGGGCATATCTCTATAATAATTTCTATTTTAAAATTTGTTTTATTCATATAAAATATTCATATTTATAGTACAGAGTGATTATTTCTTATCAGTAAAATCTTACTTTCAATGACTGAAAGGTGTTATTTACTAGCACCCATTTATCAGCACCCACATAACCATGGTTCGTTCTTTATCTCTCATATTCATGTTATCCGACATCTACCAAAAGTAATTCATCATTATTAAGTTCTAATAGTCCAAAGAAAATGGTTAACCTCAGGCAGCTGCTGTTGCAGAAGTACTAAACAAAGCAAATGTTTTGTATCCAAGAAGCCCTCTATTAACATATCCAAGAAGAATCTCCTGAGAATTTAGACGGAAGCATTCCATGCCTAATATTGGCTAATATATTCTGCCTTTCCCTCTCCCTATCTTTCCATTGTTTAATTAGAATATGTGTTTTAATAGGCAGTGATCAGGTTTCTTTGATCATACCTTACCTGTGACTACGTGTGGTTAGCTTTTGGGATTCCCATGACCCCACTACCTGGAACGAGTCCCTAATCATATAGACCTTTTCTTAACAGCTGTCATGCCTCTCTTCATACACTTTCTCTTGGTTGTCCCAAATGACAGCAATGAATCTGGAAATTAGAAATAAATTATTAATGTCCAACTTTTCACTAAAATTTATAATAGGTTCTCAGACTTTAAAAAATGTATACCCTTAAGTATTTAAATCTGTTGAAATAGTTCCCATATTCCTGTCCTCATGTAGTCCATTGTCATGGCAATGACACTTATGTACATTTCCTCCTTGAAGAAATATTCTGGTGGTAATGTGGATAATAATTGACAATATTTCTTTAATATTTCTGCTTGTCTGCCTCTAGAATTCTGCAGTATAAGGGCAAATTTCCTTTAAAAACCTGTACTCTATTTGTCTGATTATTGTACAGATATGCTGTAGTATTTTAACAGCTGCTTTTTAATTTAATCTTTGTGCTTTGGTTAACAAGTGGGCTTAAGAAACTCCTTTGTGTAATCAGATGAATTGACCTAGACATGAGCTAAGAGGTGAATGTATATATTTCCATGCAGGTAGAATATTCCACATTGTGTTTAGTAAATTGTTTTTGGTTCTTCACAGAGAGAACAGGTTGTTGCTAACCAGCATTGTAGAAGAATACTGGAAATTTCTAGTCAGGTACCCCTACTTGGTATATTTATAATGGACCACCCACAAAGCTATTATTCTCCCAGTTACTGCTTTAATTACCTTCCAAGGTCTTTAGTGCCTACTTTACTTATGTCACTGAAATTCTGAAAACCCAATATACTCTTCCACTGTTCATCTTATGCCTCATGGTTGAAAATTTTCTGTTAGTGAGTAGAAAATAACCATGAATACATAAACTGTGCAGATGATGGAACTGTTGAAAGTTCCTTAGAAAGCCAGTGGTATCCCATTGGAGACTGTACACAGAAAGACTCTTTTCCACTAGCACTGTATGATCTCAGCCTAGAAATGAGCCAAAGCAGTCTTCCAACCATATGGTTGCATTTACAAATATCTGACTTCTCCCCAGCCTATTAGAAGTTCACAAAATGAACAAATTCAAGATTTAAACAGTCATTGAAATACTTTCATAATACTTGATTTGTAAATATTTTGGATAAAGTGTTTTGAAATAGTATGAAAATCAGCAGGAGGTGTGGGTCCCTGCCTTATTTTCATATGCTGTGGATATGTCTCTGGGAGCTTGCAGCACCCTTCTCAACTGTCATAAGGAACTCATTTGCTACTCAAACCATAGACAGATATTTAACATATGTGATGTAATGACCTTCAGTATTTTTCTATTGAACAAATTTAGCAATTTTTTGCCATTAAACAGATAATTAGTTATGCAAAGTTATTAGCTTTTATAATCATTTTAGTTATGACTAAAAGGGGGAATTGAGCTGCATCACTGATAATGAACTTTGTGAGAAATTTTTTGTTTATCTGACTTTCATTCCTTCAGTATTCTTGCTATAAATTTCTTTTGGAGATAATGATGGAGATTTATTTGAAAATGTCTAAAATGTATGTATATTTTATAAATATATATTATATATATTATAGGAATATATATAATATATATAGACTATATATATATATATATATAAAAAACCATAGGTGCATTTTACTGTTTTGTATTTTCATTTTTGGAGGTAGTATACGCAGTGGATAATGATGAGTATGATGAGTGTTGTGCTGTTTGCTTTTACAGTATAATATATAGTTCTCAATGTTTAAATTACTGTATATACTATATCCATTATAGGCTAGCATGCTTGTTTTAAGGACTGTCATTCTAGTTTATTAAAATCTGAATGTAAGAAAACCTGGCTATTCAAATGTGAATTGAAAAATATTCCATTCTCAGTACTGAACTATTTCCATTGAACATTCAGGCTTTTTAACAAAATAGATATCATCAAGAAGGCAATAGCTAGAAAATGAGAGGTGCCTTTATTTAAAAAAAAAAAAAAAAAGCAAATGCAGCCTTACAGTGAAGATGAAGATTGAGTTTGTGCGTGGAGGTGGGAGGGAAAAGGAAAAAGAGTGAGAGGCAGAGATAGGGGAGTGTGTGTGGTGTCTGTGTGTGTGTACATGCACGCATGTGTGCCAATCTGTGAAGGTCCTGGTTTGTGACCCTCAGTGTCTTTTTAATGTATCTGTTCAACCTCTAGGACTTCAGGGGACATTTCATGCGCTGTCTTTGTGCTCTTCTGAGCACCATATATACCTTCCAAGAATTCTGAATGTGAATTCCTAGAAATTTCAGTAGAGAAAAAAATAGCTACTCTTTAAAGTCAAGTTCAGGTAAAAAGAGAAATTATTGGTTTACTAAAATTATGGGATTTCGTTAGTGTTGGCTAAGTGAATGTAATTTTTTTTGAAGTCTCACTTTTTTAGTACTTCATATATTCCCCCTTACATAAGAGTATGTCATGAAAATCTTATGTGATGATAAGGGTTCAACTAATAAAAAGTTATTTTTAAACACCTGAACTAGTAATTCCACCTAAGAATAGTCTTAAAGTATTTAAATGGCATCTCTCATATCTACCTCTTTGTCATTGCTGCCATTTTTACTAAAGCATATCTTCCTGACTACTGAAGTGATGGTCAGATGCAATTGAAGAATCGATGTTGGTGCTTTCCTTAGGCCTTGTCCTTTAAGTCTATTGCATTAAGAGATCACAAGCCAGACTGAGAGACTTAGTATTCACTATAGTATTCTTTTGAAAGAATTGCTTAAAATTAACCATCAGTGTTGTTAGTTAATCTCTGGTTGGTTTATGTCTGTGTGATGTTTTTCAACCAAGAGCCAAATTATATTGAATACATATGGAAAAAGAGTTCTAAGTATAGTTTTATTTAGCTTACTTTATTCTTTAAAATCTATTTCAAGATTCTTAAGTACATAATTTTATTTACTCAGAAGTTGCCCTTATTACTATGTTACTTGTTATTTATATAACTGCAGTACTTCTTAAGTGTTTGACACTGGGATTCAGGTTATACAAAAGTAGTAGCTGACAAAAATGTCTATTTTGTGAAATGTACCAATTCCTAAAGTCCATTTTAGGGGAAGTTCCATAAAACGAATATATCTATATTTAAAAACAAAGGATAGACATTTTGATAAATAAATTATTTTACTTTTGCCATGTCCCTCCTCCAGCTGGGTCTCCATGTCTGTGTAAGGGATGCCATGTTGACAAAATATTTAGTAGATTCTTCATATTGTTTGCTCTTTTAATCCAAAAAGTGCAAGTGTTATTAGGTCAAATAGCGATCCCTAGATCCCACTCATTTATTCTAGCAGTATTCCTGAAGTGGTGCTTAGGGATCAGAATCTTCTGGATCTTGGCTATCAAGCTTTGGATTTAATTTAATTGGGACCACATGCTCGTCATCCCTCTGATGCAGATTAGAAAATTCATTTTAATCTAGATAAACTCTAATGTCTGCCTGTGTTTTTAACAGGCTGTGAACCAGTGAGTGCCTTGTTAATGTAGAATGGTCCCTCCCCCTTATATGTTAGCTCTATCTGAAAATGTCTCAGAGAATGGTATTTTAACTGGCTTATAGAGAACTGTAAATTTGGTATTGTCAGCAACCAGAAAGTCTTTGGTTTACTACATACCTCCCTACCTGTTTCTCCTCATTGTTTGGCTGAGGCTTGCCTGTTGTGAGAAGAGAAATACAACCTTCCTTCTTCATACCTTTTATCCAGTCCAGATTAAGAGATGTCCCTTGTCCCCATTCCAACTCTATGATCTAATACTTGTTTTTAGGAGGAACCACTTCTTTATAATACTGAAATCTACTGCTTATTTTATATCTTCTCAACTTGAGTTTACTAGAGCTGATCTCAGGCATCATCAGTTCCGATTCCTAACCAACCCTTTCTCTCCACACTCAACCCCTAGCTGGTGAGCCCTGGGCCAGATTGTTTTATCTTCAGGTATTTTAAATTTTAGTTTTAATAACGATTGATGTAAATTAATCCAAGTGCTAATTTTTGTGGTGCAAGAAGTTTCTTTTGTAAATTCAGGGTATGGATAAGCTAATTAAGATATCCATTTTTGGTGGCTCTAAGTGTATTCTTTGTTTTTAAATAAAGTGTACAAATATAGATAATGTGCTATAGATGTCTCATGAATTGGAATATTTGTCAGATTTGGAATCTAGTTGTGGCTTTGCAGTGAATTCAGATAAAACACTTGAGTGCCATCTGATTTGGGGCTGGACGGTTGTAGAGGGGTGCAGGGAAATTAAAGGGAATTAAGCAAAGTAGATATGAGTCCAGAATAGTGAAACACTTATCATTAATTGATTGTGAAGGAGGTGGAGAAGTTTATCATTTTAGAGAATTTGAGCCTTTGGAAAGCTAGTAAAAATTTAAAACCCATAAAATTCAGTCAATCAGTGATACTCCCAGGGACACATGTGTGTATGTTAACAAATAAGTTTCATGTTTTTCACGTGAGTTCAATTAAATAATTATTAAACATTACAGCAATATCTATAAACTTAGCGTGTTTTTATTTTTCTTTGCTTGGCTATTTAAAAGACAATCATAAGCCTTCCACACCTCTCCCTGACCCTTTGCTTCAACATTATTGAAGCTTTTGCCTGCATAGAACTCAGAATTTCTTTGTTCCCATCTTGAACTACAATACAATATTGAATCTAAAATACATCTTCTGATGTCCTAGATACTATGTACTATTCTTTGCAGTACTGTGTGGTGGTCTACAGTGAGTGTTGTATCCTTCAGAAGGCATACACACTTTTCTGTAGTGTTAGAAACATCTCTTTTGTCTCTTTTACCGAGAATTGAGACATGGTTTGCTAGAGTATTTTTGGAGTAATCTAACTTAGGCAGTCAAGAAGACTCTAATAGTTATTTATGGGTTGATGAGTCCTCCGGTCTCAGCCTAGCTTCAAAGTTGTATTCTGACCTACATTGGGTTTCTGGGGTTTTGAGGGGTCTCAGCATTATCCTGGCATACCCTGTAGTACAAACAATGTAACCACAAAGCATCCTTTCACTTGTAACTTCTCAGTTGGAATGGCCAGGACACTCCAGTTCTATAAAGCAGCTCCAGTGTGTAACTCTGCAGCTCTGAAAATTGGGATTCATTTTTCCTGGAACAGAATTTTTAGCTTGTTATATTTTATATACTTAAAAAACTAAACAGAATCCAAAATTCACCGTGTTTGGGGAAACAAGTTACTCCTTCAAGAAGGAAAAGTAGCCTCCATCTCTCCTTCAGAGGACTTGAAAGGTGACCACTTTTGATTTCAGTAAGTGAGTGGTTCTAATTCCGACTTGTTTGTCATTGGTCCCTGTTAACTACATTTAAGTTGTTGTTACTGTTTTAAGATTGATTTATTTGATTGCTTCTCAGCTTTTTGGCTAAGATCAAGTGTGAAAATTGATTTATTTGAAAGGCAAAATAACAGAAGGAGAGACAGGGACATCTTCGAGCCACTGGTCCACTCCTCAAATGGCTGCAATGGCCAGGGTTGGGCCAGGTGAAGCTACAAGCTCCAAATCAAACCAGCACCCATATGGGATGGCAGCATCTCAGGCACTGGCTTAAGACATTGTGCCATAACTCTGGCCCCTAAATTAAAGATTTTTAGGAAAGACATCAGAAGTATCCTAGAGCCTACTGGCAAAGTGTCAGTATAGTTTTATTACATATTAGGCAGCTAAGTCTGGTTATATTGTATTATCTGCATATGTCAGAATGAAGACTAGGCATGTAAGAAATATTCTAAAGTGGCCATGAGTGATAATCTCATTAAGAAAAAAGTCATTTTTACAGGATAAGTTCTCCCTAGAATGTTTTTGATTATCATTTTAAAATCTTTTTGTATAACCTATGTATTTCAAAGTATCTTGTTAGTAATTTCACTCTGTATATTTTAGAAGAAAATAACTTATGGGTCTCACAATATCTTTTGACATTTGTGACTAACACTAACTTGTGACTAACTTGCCCTACCCCCCGCTACACACACACACACACACACACACAGAGCTACCCAAGCCAGTACTGAACTGTATGTAGAAATACATGTGTAGTAAATATGTCAGCAGTTTACTGACTGGAAAATCTGTATTTCTGTGCACAGCTCTCAGGGAAAGTAGGAGGCTTATGCATTTGATACATGCTACAATGGAACATTAAGCTGTAGCATGTGGGAGTGTACTGCATGAGTAGAGCTAATAGTGATGTCCTCTCAGAACTTAAGGTTAGGTTCTGCCAGTCACTCTTCATACAGATTTTCAAAGTGCGTGAGTTTATCTAAAACAACATTTAATAATCTAAATTCATTTAAATGAAAACTTTGTTTTTCAGTGAAATATTATCTGTTCCATTTTCTTGTATATCTCGTCAGAAGGAATCTGACCTTTCACTCAACTATAAAACATTCTGGCTTTCTTTTTATTGCTTTTCGGTCAGTCTTTTAAACAAGCAAGACAATAAGCTCATTTATTGATTTAGGTATTTAAGAATATACTGACTGATTTTAAAAAAATATTAATTATTTTTTGTTTATTTGAGAGACAAAGAGATAGAGAAGCTGTTTTATTCCCTACCCCCATTCACCTCTCTGAATGCCCATAGTGGCTGCGACTGGGCAGGACTTGAGCTAGGAACTGTAATGCAGTTTGGGTCTCCTATGCAGGACTACAAGTACTTGAGCCATCACAACTTCCTCCTAGGGTCTGCATTGGCAGCAAGCTGGAGATAGGAGCTGATTGCCGAACCAGGCACTTACATGTGAGTCATGAGTTTTAACCAGTAGGCTAACTACATGCTCCCCAATTTACAAAACAGTAATAATTATAAACAGATTGTTTTCCTCTTTAGAAATGTCATTGCTTTCTGGATTTTGCTTCTGAATTGGGAGGTTGTATAGATGCATGCAATTTTGTGCCCTCAGTATATATAATTGATATATAACTTG